CTTTGGTGTTGTACACTCTTTGCCGGCACACCAATACAGAAACCCACTAAAACATAGATAAAACATAGATTAAACATAGATTAAACATAATGACAAAAACTTTACTACTACATTTGTACTTCAGTTGGGGTAGGCAAGAGCAGAAAAATATACTTCACGGCACTCACTATGTGTGTTATTTTAACAGATAACTTACGTTTTTGCTTTTTCTAKAACATTATCATCATTGCTCCGGCAGTAGATTCTCATGTGTTGTTCTCTAAAAGACTCCGGAAGCAAATTGCTGACCTGATAAGAACAATAATTGGATAGTAACAGCTTTAGACAATAATTTATCTTATCATGCAGTGTTTTTAGGAAACACGGCCAGATTTGGGAGAAGCATAGGGTCYCCTTTCTTTTGATTGTTTGATGACTGCTGATAGATTGACAGAGTAATATTTTTGACAGATGCCTTGATTTGTCTAATAACATCGTAGATGTTTACTGCATTTTTGTAAATCTTCTTGACATGTGTATAATGCACGGATTAAGTGCAACCACTCTRGTATGATACTCTTTAATTTGTAAATTATTGTCCGCATTATCCAAAAAATAATAAAATAAAATAAAAAATGTGGATGTTTATACCTGATGCTTGCGGAAGATTTGTGCYTTATTTGGCTCATGTTTAGTGTAGAATCGTAAATTGTCAATTGGATTTTGATCTTTCATTCCGTAGTCAAATGTTACCAACTGAAATGGAAATTGAATCATTTCATAAGATTAAACAATTTGAAAGTGCATTTTAAACTGTTTTTTGGAAGACACAGTTTTTGGCAAAGTTGACTTTCATTGGTGACCAAGTGCTGTCATTGATCATAAACAAGGTGTTTTTTGAAGTGTTAATAATATCATTCAAGCTGTAACTTCCACTGCTAGCAGATTATGTTATAGTTGAATTGTTAGACATCAAGGGCAAATTACGGTGATTTTCCATTATTTACAGTTTTGATATGCAAATAGCAAAATGGCAATGGTTGTGTATATTATTAATGCAATTGTACTTCTCAAGAGTAGTGATGTGTGCATGTGTTATCCAAGACAGTGTGAGTTTGCTAGTGTATGGAATGATAGTCGACCAATATCATCTACCAATAACCTACATCAATAGTGATATCACTTGGATCTAGTTCTTTCCCACAGTCCATATCAGGTGGTACTTTTCCAACAATCTCATCACAAATGTCTGGAATTTCTTCCTGGAAATAAAAATGTGTGCATTACATTTCTGTTATATCACACTGCTAATTTCAGAAGTTAGTGAATGTATTAAAAATACAGGTTAAAAACAATACGAGGTAAATTGCTGGCAGCACAAGTCATTTCATTTTACAGCTCCAACACGCCATCTTGAATCCGTAATGATAGCTGATACCTGTGAATAATTGTCTTACGGTAGGTGTGAACAAAAGGTATCACTACAGGCTAAATTCCTGTATTGCTTAGAAAGCGTTACCTTTCAAGATGGCCTTGGAACTGAAAAATGGAGTATTAACAAAACAAATACATACTTTGTCTTTACGAGTTTTCAGGATTGTTTGTCCAATACACTTGTAAAGTTGTCGTTTTTCTATTCGCTGGAGAATTTGTTTAGCCTAGTCAAATACAATTTATGTGAACATAAATCTTTTAGCACACAGCTGGCATGAGCAATATTATATAAGACATTGCAGTGAATCCAACATGGTTCATAAAAATTGAATTTCTATCGTTGGTGAATACTATATYCTCAGGAACATACGAACAAAATCTTCAGTTCTTTCTTCAACCAACAGAAGATTATGCCTTSGTTCCAAAGGATGTGGTTTTCYCTTACCGGTTGAAGGTTGGGATCAGAGGAATACAGTATTTGATAGTAAACATGATCTGATAGCTTTGTATAGGCRACCATATCATCTATTGCTTCAGACATCTTTCTAAGAACTCTAAAACAGAACCTTCATGTGTAAGCTTAAATAAACTGAAATAAAAAAAGGAGAATTTTCCARCAAATGGATTAAATTCAATGAAGRCAAACAGTTCTATCACAAAATATTGAAATTTAAMAARTTGTTCAAAGTTCTTACCCATTATTTCCTTCAATTGTTAAATATGGATTAGCTTTTAGTAATGCCTCACAAATCCTATGAATTTTAAAATCAATCTTGGTGGACTCAATTCCATTTGGAAAGTTCAAAATTGATAAAAGAGGTTGAAAAACTCACATGATTTCAATGATATTGGATGTCTTGTGTTGGTAAGCACGTCTGAAGAGGCAGAACCTKGTATGGAACATGTCGTATATATTACCAGCCTCCTTGTCCCGCACACATATGGTCATTCTTTGCTCAACCTTAATTACTCTTGCCATCTTTATATACCGTCTATGAATGTGAAGCATAGGACGAAGAATGACAGAATTAAATATTGGATTCTATTATAGGTGGTCTCAGGTGTACAGTATGTTGATTTATTAAATGTACTAGATGGATTTGGCTGCTATAACAGCTGTACAGCAAGGTGTTCAAAGTACACAGACCAGGAAACAGCCAGGAAGCAGTCACTTGCAGACAACTCACCTGTGATCAAAAGAGTTCTTAATTCCAAGATTATGACAGTCCCGAGAAAAGTAATCCCACTTGTCCACATCAATACCAGTACGCTTGTTGGCAACAATCTGGAAAATAGAAAGGTTAACAATTTTAATAGCCGASTTTAGATATTTTGGTTCAGTGACCATGCACAAAAGAATTGCAGACGAGGCTCMGGGGAAATAAAGAATAAAACGATATTATACGCTCTTTGATTGGTCATTTTGAAGCGTGCACTTCAAAATAACTCTTTGCAATATTAAAAAAATAAAATTATCAATGGATAATCTTGATTTATTCTTTATTTCCCCGGAGCCTCGTCTGCAATTCTTTTGTGCATGGTCACTGAACCAAAATATMTAAAGTAGGCTATTAAAATAAAAAGGCTTGTTTGCCATATAAGACAGTTGTACATTATAGGTGTCATATAGTCACTGCATTGTATGAAGTTACCTCATAGAGATAGCTTTTAGACTTTGTTCTCCCAAAGTAGGGCCAGTCCTAAGAAAGACAAATGTTTTAATTAAAAATGAATTAAATTTCTTTATTCAAGCTTGCTAATCAGTAAAAAGGTATTTAGCACACTGAGGTTTATTGTGTAATCTTTCATATTGTAACTTAAGAAAAACAAAGTAAGGTCCCCTGAACTGTTAGACAAAATTAATACTTTTGGCAMTCAGTGAGTATATAGTGTGGTCAGTCACATGGCAAAAAATGAAGCTCTATTAACAGTGACTGAGAGTAGATATAGGATATACTGGAATGACAGATTTCAGCAACCTTAAATTAACAMAGAAGTTCAAAACTATAATGTATTACCTGTGTTTTTGCTGGAGTGTCTCCTCTTGGCCCCGCAATGAGTTCCTTGATGAATGTCATGTCTTGGCTACTAAGGCCATATTTTYTGAAGTCTTGCTCTAAATGATTTTCTTTTACAAGATGGTCAAACATCATAACACTGGCTTCTTCATGCTTTAAGATAAATTTGTATTTAGTCTGTTAAGTTACAGAGGCTAGAGTAGTAAATAAGAACTTTTTATAATTTTCCTAGCAACTTGTCTCATACGTAGCAAAAACAAGTGCACTCTTTGAATCTTAAAAATTGCAAAAAAGGTGATTAAATGTCAAAAAACATCAACAACAAAAATTATGAGACAACCATAGTTACACTGTCTTATAAACCTTTCCAGGAAATTGCTTTAGACAGTGTACCRTCACCTTAATTCAAGGAAAGCCTTTACTTACTTTCCAAGGATAYCCAGGTCTTGCAGCTGGGATGAACTGAATGTCAAACATGTGGGAAAAAGGTCCATGYCCTGTGTGACAAAATATGAATATGAATCAATCCATTAGGTTTCTATCAGTCATTTAGTGAGTCAAACTTCCCTGTGTCAGATCGAAAGGTAGCTGTGCCTTCACAAAACAGCAAGCTGATCAGTGAGCAATGATAGAAAGATTTTGTAACAAGTGWCAAATCTRTGAAGGTATCTAGTGTCATTGAGAGYTCGCCAGTTGTCCAGGTCAATGCAAAGGTGACCAGTTACCCTATTTTCTACTACTACCAATAATAATATGTGGTCTCACATGTATATAGTGCATTATCACACTGTTTCAATGCGCTTTCACAACAAAGTAATGGTCGGACTGCTATTTAAGGCGCACAGCAACCACGCGGCTTACAATCATGAGTGTGAGTTAGTTCAAGTAAGTAAGAAAGTCACTGAGGGTGGTCACTGCCAGAGATTTGTTTACGTCCTCAGTGGTTCTTTTACGTCCACCTTATAACAGGGTTAGAGTGAAATCAGACGGGACCTCCGGCTTTACGTCCTAATCTGAGAAGACGAGGTAGTGGTAGTAGTGGTAGTAGTGGTAGTAGTGCTAGTAGTGCTAGTATGTGGTTGATGAGAATGATGTATATGCACTTGTCAGTAAAACCATAAAGTCCATTAAATAACAAGTAAAACAATGTATTCCCTTACCCAAATCATGACAAAGTCCTGCAATTCTCACACACAACACATCCTGTTCTGTAATTCCAAGCTCAGGTTGTCTTTTCTGTAGACTTCTTACCAGACGTCCAGCAAGATGTGATGTTCTGATGAATTAGACATACTTCAACTTTATGTTACAATTACTTTTAACAGTTTTTTCTGTATTGAATTAACACTCATTTGGTTCMAATAACTTACCCAATACWGTGCTCAAAGCGATTATGTGCTGCACCAGGGAAAACAAAGTAACAGCCACCTGTTACAAGTAAAGAAGAGATCATTTGATTGGACAATGGACCTCAGTGATTGATGCAATGAAGAAGGGGAGGTGTGAATAAAAAAATAGAATATGTGTGAGTGAATGTGGATGAATGAAAACAAGAACATGAAAATGAATGGAGGAACAAACAAGGGAAATTGTAGGATATTGCATTGACAAATAAACCGTAATGAACAAATTATATGTAATATATAAAATATGAGCGGGAGACCTTTATGGACATTTAAACCTGCAAGGTGCAAGCGAGCAGTTTTATAGCCCATAAAGGTCGGATGTGAATATCTTATATTGCTTATAAAATTCCAACATAAGGTATTAAAGCATATTTCGAAAAAAAATTAAGGATAAAATATCATTTGTAAGAAAAAAATTGAAGTTAAAGTCGTATGCAAATCAGGACAAATTTCTTGCTCATATAAAGATGTGGTCATGATCATGGTAATGATTTTCCATGATTGTGTTTACCTTATGAATTATTAAATGAATTTGATAAGAAAGATATAACGAATTAATGTATGAATGAAAGAATGAAAGCTGCACCTGAACTGAATGAAAGTGAAAATATATGAATTAATATGATGGATGGATTGTTGAATGATTATAACTTCAACACAAGAAATACTTAGTAAAATATTTGCTGCAATGGATACTTATTGAAAAATACTAACCCAGCTGTTTGATATTTCTTAGACGCTGGAACTGTGCAGTATCGATGATGCTTACAAGCAGTGGGTGCAGCTCTATATGACCGTGAACAGGGTCATTGAACACYTTASYATGCAATGCTGGTGATGGTGGTACAGAACAAGTAGTTGAAGCTCCWGCTTTAAACAGTTGCAGGACTGCAAGTAACTTGTCAATTGTACCTTGATCACTGTGAAACCAATAAGAGAATTACATGCATGATAAAACCATTTTTTATATGATGTATATATATGGAAATGCTTATGATTGATTGATTTTTTAAACTTTACAGTATGTGTGCACGATGAAATGGGCAAATAATGGGCTTTATTATCTCATTGTYAATTTGTTTGGGGTCCTTATATCATTTATTTTCTTGATATTATATAGTTACATTTAGATAAACTCTGGCTATATATACAAATATTGTTCAAAAGCTTAGATTTCAGGAAGAATGGTTGGGTTACCAATGTTATTTTGCACTGTTGTAGTGATGAAAAAATTTTCAATAACACAATAAAGTACTTAATACAAATGTCAGCTACAATTTATAGGCATTCATCAACCTAACAGCCCTCTGGTTGTACCTAATTCCATAGTTTTGTAAGTTCTGTACATCAATATTAATCAAATCCTTTCCGGTGACGCCATTTTCTGTGAAAGTAATATAATCAAGGACATTAATGAATGATAAAGATTTGTTTTACTTAATTTTATTACTACTTTTTATTTGTTTTACATGATTGTGCTCTTTCTAAGTGTTGAAGTAATTATAATACTAAGWACAGTTTTGAAATGTTTTCATTTTGCATCCTACAGTATAGCATTCTTGCCCTTTTAGCTCATCAAAAAATAACTTTTAGAAGACAAAGACATTTGTATGGTGAACCGTAAGGAATGCGGAATCAGCCAAGCCCCTGTCATGCTTCATATAATAAATTATGATTTTCTCGCATAATTATCCATTCACTATAGTTGTTTACCAGCTATTCCATGGGATTTTATTATAATCTGTAATTCATTTTTACACCTTAAATCAACGTAGAGCAATTTTCATTTGATCCGTGAAATAAAAACTAAATAGTTCTAAATATCTAAATAGCTAAATAGTCACTATTTTGTACTTAAAATAGATGATAGCAAATCAACTGATAGTTCAATACTCAGGAGACATTAAATACACAAGAATCAAGTTATTTCATTTATTTTTTATTGATATCACAGTGCAAATGAAATAAAGAATAAGATACTTAATTTGATTCTTGTGTATTTAATGTTTCCTGAGTATTGAACTTACAAGTTGGTTCGCTTGAGTGCTATTTAAGTACAAAATTAGTGACTAATTGTTAAGAACTATTTGATTTCACGGATTAAATAAAATTGCTATAATAAACATTACTGTATGGACTTAGCCAATCAAAATCGAGAAACTGAGTTATAGCTTCAATATTTTCACTTTCATTGCACTGGAATATCATTGAGCTMTCATTCAGCATGTTATCCTACCCTTGAATACAGAAGCAACATTTCCAAGGTCTTTATCTTGCAGAAAAACAGCAACTGTYTCTCGACTCCATGACATAAAATCTCTAATATCATCACACTTGATTCGTTTCTTTGCAGGACTYGGAGTGGTTAAATTATTGTAATCTGGTCGTTCTACGGTTGCGTTTTTTCTCTTCTTCAATTTTGTTTGTTTGGACATTGTTTAGTGATTGAATTAAACGACTCTAAAAAKTAAAAACTAAGGTAGCTAGAGTAAAATTTTGAATAAAATGACGCTACTCTTCTCCTGGCGCGAAAATTTATTGACTGGTTCCAGGCTCACGCGGTATAAAAGACACAGGAAGTCAAGGTCGTGTTTTTCGAATACTTTTGTTTGAAATTCAGCATTTTTCATTCTGTAATTGTTTGTATTACCCTTTTGCAGGCAAAGAATTAACATTTAGAATAAGATTGATGCTGTATTCATGTAGAACAAATTGATACATTATTTTAATGAAGGATAGCAAGTCGGATACCAATAAATATATTTATTTTCTTCCGGGCACCCTGTGGTACGGCGCAACTTTGCTTGAAGTTCTAGATATTGTCACGTGATCATGAAATACGTCATTATCAATACTACATAATCCATAATTCTTGCTACCATGGCAACAAATAAACAAAAAAACAGTATATGTAATCCTCAATCTGAGAACGTTTATTTTTACCTTTTTTAACCATTCATCTTTTCTAGTTTATCTAAAATCTATTAAATTGTATTTAGATTTAAACTCAGCTCCATTAAAACTACGATATACTTATTTGTATTTTCACGTCGTTGGACTTCACGGATTATTGAACTGAAGTAAATAATCCYAAGCTGAGCAAATATTTGAACTTCTGGTCGAGTTATATAAATTAGACGTATTTGCCTAAGGGAAAAAGATAGAAATGTGATTATTAGCTAATTTTTTGCCTATTTGGTTGGATTTTCGTAATGACTGTAATGTAACCTTGGCTATTGTTTTTTGTTTGCCATCAACAAATCCTATCGTCGCCTGGACACGGTAATACAAAATACTTCGTGTRCGTCATTGGTGCAAAGAGAACAATCCATTCAATTGCTGGCTATTGTTTTCCTGGTCCCACAGCGAATGGTCTTGGCTGGGCGAGTTACAATTGGCAGATAACTAACACCCCAACGCACTTCAGAACATTTCTCTTCAGGACTGAATTGTGAAACATTCCTGTTATAAAAACTACAAGACTGTTCTGCGCAAAAAGCGATGAAATTGTTTGAGCTAGCTTTAGGTAAGAACATTTGTGTTTAGATTTACAATTAAAGGTATAATAATGATGAAATTTGGTGTTTTCTTTTCTCAGCTCTTGTGATTCTTGTCGCATCCTTCGCGAGCATCACCACCGCCTCGCAAAAGGTAATTTCTTTTTAGTTTTACAATTTGAACTCAAGAACCTACATCATCGCACGAAATGATCTAATGTTATATGGTATTCCAGTATTAGTATAATCCAGAAAAAAAGTCAATTTGTGTGATACTTAGGTTTTCGAATATCAAAGAAGTAAAGCATTAGAACAGTTAATACCAGCGACATATTACTCAAATTGCAGACATTGTTTACATAGGGTATTTGCTGGACAAGTGTTTGCGCTCTTGAACKAGTCTAGTTCATAAGTAAAGGCGACAACATTTGTCAAGAAAAAACCCTTGAACTCATGACAGCTTAAAGGGAAATATATCTCTGTCATTACATTCGATTAACTTTATAAACACACGTAGATTTAGTTAGAACGAGAGAAAACAGCTTATCTAACTACAGTTCAACGAAAACGTTTTTAGCACTCTGCACTCTGTCTATGGTCAGTTCAGTTTGCTCTCAGCTTTAAATTCATCGACGAGTTTTTTCTTARGACACTTCTTGATCAGGTTAATCGAATTTTAAATTCTCGATAACTGAATATTAAGCTGAAGAAAACAAATCAAACATTAAAAAAGATGTGCGCGCGAGCTTTCGATGGTTGTGCATGTTGGTGTTGCTCTTTGTCGTTCAGGAGTTAAATTGCGATTTTGCGTTGTTTCTGGACACTTTTTACTAATGATTATACGCCTTGCTCGAGAAAAACATCATTAAGCACCGATGATTTTACCCAGCTATAACATACAAGCACAAATCGTCATTTTTTTCTTTTTAAGTAAGTTTCGTGCAAAAGGTTGAACGTGAATAGAGCTCACATCTCCTACGCTGTCATCCATGAAGTTCAACGCTTTGATCCTTCAACGACAGACCTGAATTACACGAAAAAAGAAAACGTTTCTTCAACTTTTCCTTTTATATACTATTGTTGACAATTGTAGTGAGCTGAGCTGAGTACTAGACGAAAAAGGAACTTAATTATYGATTCAAAAGCGTTTTTTAATCCAAGGCGAGAGTCCAGATTGATTGAAGTGACTCCTCCATAGTTACGCGCAAATKTTGGTATTCGTCTGTAAAATTCTCAGATATTTCAAAACTTAGCTTAAGGACGGTAAGGAAGTCTTGTCTTGTTTCAYTACCGTCTGAAAAGCAGCTGGAGCGCTTCAGGAAATTCATGAAAATCGGTTTTGCGCATAGTACTTCAYGACTTTATGAGAAAACCCCGGCCCTTTTCTAGCATGAGATAGCAGCTCAAACATCCGAGCTTTATTGACSATATGTTCAAACTCATTCATTTTTTGGAATCGTATTTGCCGCTGGGAGATCATTTTTCGACAGAAGTGTTTTCTGATTTCACCTGACTGTACCGAAATTACCGCAATCGCTTTAACTCAAATCTGAGGTTCCTTGGAAATACTATTGATTTTTCGCATACACAGCTGTTAGTTAATGGTGTCCTGGCACGAATGTGAACGGCAGTTTAGKTTTTATCACAGTTGAAAGGAATCATTTATTGGATGCCCAAAAGTGGGCCATATAAAATGTACCTTTCTAGAAGTCCTTAGTTTCTATTTTGAACGCAGAGAAATCTATCTTTCTACTATTCGTTACMTTTTTCTGTTCTTTTTCTATTATTTATTGCATTTTTAAATCATCTTTTTCGCAACATTACAACATCGCTATATTACCAAAAGCAAAGGCCAAAGTTCATTAATATACAATATCCATAGCAACGTAATAATATTTTGAATAGCATTGTTGGTTTGGAATTAGCTAATTGTTTTCATATCCTGGCAAGAGAAAAAGCACTTACGTTGTTGTTTTGTTCTAAAGACTTGACCATAATCTTTTTAGTTATTCCATGCTCTTAAAAYTATAGAACCGTAAAAATTCTGATGGCGTAGTATGAAGCAAATGTCAGGCAATAAAAGTGGTAGATAGAATATCGTTTTAGGTGTATAGAAGGGATTTGCTATCATATCTCATTAAAGTCATGTTGCAATGCTAATACTGAAAGTTTTTACACTGGAAACGGACTATTTGATGGAAACGGAAACGGACATGTAGTGTAAAAAGTGTCAAAATGGGCTATGACAATTAGAAATGGAAAATAAGGGTCGCATTTTTGTCCCTTAGGATAAAAAGTTTCAAAAATGAAGAAAAATACTTTTCACATATTGCAAGAAATGCCACTGATATTGCATGTTTCGTGGACCTATGCATTAATRTCCAGGTCATTATGAAATTCCTTTATTAGCTTATATACATGCACGCAATCATGATTATTACAGTTGACTAATTCGTTTAAGGGCATATATYTATTTTATTYATTGTGATTTGACGCGTACTAGGCACACAAATACTTAATTTTAATTTACCAAGGGACAAGAGATAGGAAAAAATGCAAGCCCCAATTGACATCCATCCCTTYCAACATTCAAATACACAAAAATAAACATAGACAAACAGGTATAGAAAGTTGATACGTAAAACATAAGAAAGTAAGAGTTCATGGAAGGATGAAATATTCAACTTGATTTATGTTGGCTGGTACTGGTTTGACTTAGCACTGTGTTGGGTGATTAGAGAGCATTTCAATTAAAATGGTCTTACGATAGTTCCCAGTCCTCCTTCTTCATCTCATGACGTCTATTCATAATATTACTTTTTCGGATGCAAACTAATGTTTCCTTATCTTGCATTGCAGGGTGATGACTGCTCGGCCAATCTTCAACCATGTGTGAAACTTTGGAGAGAGCGTTCCCTATGTGCTAAACTCGGAGGGCCGCTGTGTGAAAGCATAGAATCCAACAACAACGCTTCAAATCACATCAGTAAAATTAATGAAGAAATGTGCAAAAACTCYGAAGTTTTTTGTCCAATGACAAGGAAATGTCAAGCACAGAATGGYACATGTAATGTCGACAGTGTCTCTCCAATGTCGAGCAATAGTAAACCTTGGGAGGTGAATTGCCCGGCAGATCATCAATTCTGCTCTATCTCTATGAGCTGCATCCATATGAACAAGACATGCTCCTTCAAGGCCATTTATGATTGGTTCAAAGCTGRTGATACTCTTCGTGGCCCTTATGGTGCTAACTGTTCAAGTTCCCAAAAATTCTGTCTGGCTTCCATGAGTTGTTTGGGATCAAATGCTTCTTGCGAYGTTGCATATAATGCCACAGCAATGAAATCTTTTTGTCCGAAAGACTCGTCCTATTGTGGGAAAAGAGGYTCTTGTATTAATGGGGCAAATGCCACTTGTCCATCCTTTTCTTCCTTGAATATGACAGGAAGAGAAGACAATGGAGGTATGTTGGTGCTAATTGATCGTGTATTTGTTTTTCGCAGTCTCTGTCTAGCTATTTTCCACCATTTGATAATTTGAAGAAAGTTATGTCATTACCATTATTTCATCATWGTAATCATCATCATCATTATCATCAATAACAACAACAATAAGCCCCACTACCTATCACTCAAAAATATCATATCATAGACATACAAACAATGAACTGGATAAAGATGTATAAATGATTTTTATTCTTTATTTTGATAGGATGGAAGCACGTCTGTGAGGCGCGTGAACACATGTGCACCAGGTTTGCTGTAGCCATGGCAAAATGCTGGCCAAAGATTGCTAGCTGCATTAGCATGGAGGGTAATGGCTCTTCCTCAAAGAACAACTCTGGACCTTGTGCTCAAGGCGAAAAATATTGCAACTCTACTAAAAAATGCCAGCCCGACAAAGATACTTGCTGTCCGATGGGACAAAAGCACTGCCCTACAGGTAATAATAGTTGCATCCCAGACAAACAGCCTTGCTGTGCTTCCAATGAAACGTACTGCAAATATCAAGACAGATGCCAACCAAAGGGCGATGGTTGTTGCCCGATGGGACAGTACTTCTGTAAAAGCGGGTGAGTACGATATCGACTATGCACGATACGATTGTCCCGTGCGACTTGTAGTTTACAACTCACATGAGCTTCAAATTGCTCCTACGACTTGCCTTCAACAGTCGTACGCAACCTTTTAGTAGGATTTTGATCCACGGTGCAAAATCCTACGACTTATCGTAGGAAAATCGTATGCTGTCGCTTGTCACAATCGAAAATATAAATCAACCTTTAGTGGAATCCGAAACTGTTAGTAACAGTAGCTTTACTTTTATTTGTATATTCAAATATTCATCAATTCAATATGCATCAATTTCTGATGATGATACCATATCAGTCATAACAATGTAGTGTTTGCAAGTTTGTCAGATTTCAAAGTAAATGTAKTTGTTTTTCTTAGAAAATGTATCCCTGATCACCAACCCTGCAAATACAAAGCAGCTAAATCGTGTCCTCAAAGTGCCTTGAGATGCAAAACTCTCGTTGAGAAGACAGCTAAGTTCTGCGAAGTGAGATACAAGGCGTGTAAAGCCTTGGCAAACGACAGCATGGAGTCATTCCGTTCAAAGGTCGACAGCATCAGTCAAGACCTTTGCGAATCTTCAAAAGAGTACTGTCCTCTGAGTAATGGCTGCCAACCCAAGGGAACTGCCTGTACCGTTGACTCAACAGCAGGATTTGACAATCATGCCAACAATGGAAGCAATACTACACAGGAGACTCCATGGGGTTACACATGTCCCTATGACGAGAATTTCTGCATACAAACAATGTCATGTAACGATCCAGGTGACGTTTGCTCCGCAAAAGCTATAGTCGATTGGGCGGCGTCCGAGAACAAAACATCCTCGCCGTATGGAAAGTCCTGCAGTAATGGAACTAACTATTGTTTTGCAACAATGTCATGTTCTAGTGGTTCCTGTAGATATAATCCGGTGAACAGAGACAACAATACTATGGCCAATTCAACCAATGTCTTCAATGGTTTATGCGAAGATGATAAACACCATTGCACACACTCGTTTTCATGTCGGTATAAAAACGAATCTTGCAGCCCTTTCCCGACATACGACTACTCAGGGAAGAATGATAACGGAACTGGTAAGCTGTGCGAATTTCAGACATTTATCCTATGTATATGAGTCGATAAATGAGCGTATTGACCAGCAATGGCACAGAATTTTATGCCTGTTTTGATGCGGGACATATTCTAGAGCACAGAAACCAAGCTCCCTAAATTTTATTTCTTTMTGTGATAATAACTATTGTGTATCGTTGTAGGATGGTTGAATGCTTGTAAGATTTCGAGTTATCGCTGCGAACGTCTTAAGTATGGTGTAGATCAGTGTTACAACAGAGCAAAGAACTGTGTGAAGAAAGACAAGGTTGAATGTAATCATGGGAAGGTTTATTGTAAACTACGAGACAGGTACACTTTTCTTTTGTTTTATTATCATTATTACTATTATCATCATCATCACCATCTTCGTCGTCATCATCATCATCATCATCATCAGTCCTATTTCCTGAGGTCCTTACATGAACATCGATAGGTTGGATATTTTTTTTGAAAATTCAGTGCTAGCTAGGTTTACTAATAATTCTGAGCGAACATAAAATATTGATCATAATGCCTGTTATTCTCTCATTAGTTGCCAAAATGCTTCAATTGTCTGTTGCCCTCATAACGAGACATACTGTCCTGATCGCAAAAAGTAAGTTATCGTTCTATTTTCAATAAAATGCAATGTCATTGCAATATATTATTCATGACATTTCTCCCGTTTCTTTTGGCTATTGACTTTTTGAACGTAAATTATTTAATTACGAATTCCTTTTTTCCTGAGAATCATTTTGACTCAGTTTTTCTTTGCTTTATTCAGGTGTATCAGAGATGGTGATAGGTGCCCACTCGATACTTGCACCGAAACCCCGTGTGGTCAGATCATTCAAAAATCTCTTCAATGTGAATATCTTGATAAAATCTGTCCAGCCATTGTATCTGCTCCAGGAACAGTTCTTGCCATGATATTGAAACAAGAGAATCGCACATCTCCCATAAAATGTCCAAAAGACCAAAAGCATTGCGCAGCTTTTAACAAGTGCATACCCTCAAACGATCATTGTAGAATTAACCTCAATGAAGCTTCCTGGAAGGATCAGGTTCCTTGGGATAAGTCCTCATGCGGCGGTGGGAAACAGTTCTGCGACAATGTAATGAAGTGCACGTCAAAAGACAAAACACCTTGCACTATCCAGAGTCTGATGGACTGGCACAAGGCAGGGAACACAAGTGTTAGCCCATGTGGGATGGTGTGTGCTCAAGGAGAGAAGTTTTGCTTGAAGTCTTACTCTTGCATCAAAAGCAACGCCAATTGTACTTTCGAGCCGCTAAAAGCATTCAATGGTACTAAAAATGAGACTGTTCTCCAGAAATTGTGTGGGCCATATCATCGTTTCTGTGTGAAGCAGTTTAGGTGTGTAAGGAAGACGGAAGATTGTGTGGATCCTCCAAAACTTAACTTCACTGGGGTTGCATCGGACAATGGAACAGGTATCGTGTTTTATTTTGTTATATTTCTGTATATATATTTATAGGATAAGAAGTTGTAGGGTTTGTTTATTTTAGACTCAATAAAATATTTTATTTTTAGGTTTTCTGCATATCTGCAAAGCTAAGGAAGTCTACTGTCCTGCAATGGTACGTGGAATGATAAAATGTGCAGCTAAGAAGGAATTTGCACACTGCGTCAAAAAGTCACTGGAGCGATGCGCACCGGGAACAACACTCTGCGTTAAAACGTAAGTTTTAGATTTAATATCTAAGAAAAGTCTGGTAAAAGTTGTGCAGATGTACAACATTAGCATGGAAGACAGGTAATTTTAATTGGCTGTACGTGGCCTCTTGAAAAGGAATTAAAACGTGTCATTATAATAAAGACATGACAGTCATTACACATTTGTTGTTTCCATACAGCGGGAAGTGCATCAAGCCATCACAGTATTGCTTGGCACCTGGAGAATGTCCACCTTGTAAGTATGCTGTCACCATAAAAATATTGACGTTCTTCATTACTCATTAATCTGTCGACTATTCAGACCTTATCCCATGTATTTCTCCCATTTCTCCTTTATTCATCTATCAATGTCCACTTATTCGTTCACCTCTGGCATCCTTAACATTATTATTTTCAAGGAGTTGATATAAATCTCAAAAATGGGAGTATAACTAATAAGGTACCTTTTCTGGAGTAGATTTATCTAGATTTAACTCATCAATTTTAACTCCATCTCGGGGAGTAAATTTCAACTCCTTTTTTTTACTCTCTTTCCAAGTTGAATAAAGCCTCTAGAGTAAAAACTACTCGCATTGTAGAGTACATTTAATTATCTGTCTTCAAAGGTACTCCACAATGTATCATCATCTCGATCGATCTGCGCTAATTCACATATCACCGCATTAGCATTTAGCAGGAGCATAAATGTTTTAAATATCAACGTTTGTTTCAGATCAATTTRACTGCCCGGAGCTTGGTGGATGTATTAACAAGACTATAAAATGTGAAGTTCCACTTTCCAAAATCATTTACAAGTCAGCGTGGTTTTTTCAAAAGCTCGAAGAGGTCAAGCCAACACTATTCCCCAGTGGTTCAACCATTGCCATTGTCTCCGTTTCTGAAAGCAGTGGTCAAGTTGAATACCACGACGGTGGCAAATGGGTTGCAGTGTCTGGAATAGCTGAAAAAACTGCCCTTGTCTTGGGAAAGACAAACATGTTAAGGTGATTATATCAGTAAAGCAGCATGCATCCAAACTCTCAATATACCTTCAGTAAATCCATTTGACCGATAAATGAACATTCCTTATTTTATTTTTGTCAGATTTGTACCCAGTAATCCTGTTTGGCATGGCGCTGTACAATTTAACTACACTGTCATGTCGGGAACGGTAGGGCAAAAAGTAGACGCATCAAGCTCAAAGAGAAATCCGGACGATGTTATTGTTTCTGTCATCCTACCAAATGTTTTCACTCCGAACCTGACTGAAGTGGGAGGAGCGTTTTCGATTTACGAGGACGAGAAAGGAAAAGGTTTTAAGGTAATTGTCTTTGACTTAAAAATGAAACGTCGACGAGATTTAATCAACAGTATCTTTGGATTCTGGATCAAGAATGAGTGGAAATGATGACTACCACAGCTGCGTTTTTTTAGGGCGGGCTGAACGACTCTTATTTTTATGGAGTTAGTGAGGGGGGTTAGGCGACTAAAAAAATATAGATTTAGATATATCTGGGTGGACATAAGTAAGACATATCTTATTTTCCATTAAAGCTCGAGGACAAAATGAAGCTGAATTTCCTCAATTTCTCCGACGAGAACAACGTACCATTTGATCTGCAATCACGAATGAGTCGTTTAAGCGTGTCAGCTTACCGCGAATACTTGAAACTTGTCCAAACAGCTAAGGCTGCCGTAGCTATCACCTTCCTCGAAAACAGTACCAAGACGGGTAAGCTTACTTTTGTGTATGCAGAACTATCATAAAAGTACAATTCTAACAAGGTGTTGTGATGGTTTTATTTTAGGTGGTTTCAAGGGAGCAAAACCAAGTCGTGACAAGCCTGAAGTGGTGTTTGATCATGAATTAGACAGGAAACTAGTGATCAGTCCAGCCAAGCACTACCATGGAACTCTAAATGCAACCTTTTCTGCAGCAGTAATATACAACCCAGCAGATGGAAAACTTAGCTTTGATATGCCACAGATGACCAGACGCATCGTATTTACTGTAAGTATTGGGTTTATTAACTTATAGGCTGCCTCTTCTTCTTGCCTACTGATATAAAAATGTTGTCTACATCAATGGAATCTTCGTGGTTCTTCCTTGCGTGTCGACATTCTACTTTTTTATCTCCTCCTCCCTCAGTTTCTTCTTCAAATGGTGTATTACGTTATCTCGTTTAAGCTTGAATTTTCTATTTCAGTTTTTCACTTTTCAACCATTTACACTGGATCCTCCGATGCATTGTTTACTAAACGATTTCTTTATTTTGCAGTATATGTATTTAAATAACGCTACTGAAAACCAACACAAAGCGCTTCAAGGTGTCATACAGCAATTCAAAACCTCCAAAAACCGACCAAGCAAAGCCAATGTCTTGGATGCCATAACAAAGGCTGAGTCAGCAGCCAGCGGACTCAATAAGACTGATCTTGGTGAGATTAAGAAATGGGTCACCCTCGCTTATGAACGCGGTAAGCTTATTTTCTACCAAGTGGTGCTATGATATAGTAAAATGCTTGATAAATAAGCACATGGTAAAGACAGTGCCAGCTCTTGCCAATGCGCTCAGCAATAATTTCGAGTCTTTGTAAAATATAAATTATACTGATCTAACGATGAAACAAACTTGTCTTTCTCGCAAAGTTGTTGATTGTTTTTTCTTTTACCGTTTTAGTGAAATTGGTGACAGGAAAAGACGAGGTGAGCAATACCATAATATTTTATGTAGCTATTATATTCATACCAACCAACCAACCAACCAACCAACCAACCAACCAACCAACCAACCAACCAACCAACCAACCAACCAACCAACCAACCAACCAACCAAACCAACCAACCAGCTAATAATCAACCAAACCACCAACCAAACCAACTAACCAACAAAACCAACTAACCAACCAACCAACCAACCAACCCATCAACCAACCAACCAACCAACCAACCAACCAACCAACCAACCAACCAACTAATCAATCACTAATATAAACCAAGCAACTGAATAGACAGCCAGAAATAACCAAACAATGTAAACAGATCAGTCAGGCACATCAATAAAACTATTATCAATCACTGCAGGAGCTTCCACCATACAAAGTCCTAGAAATCCAAACCAAAGGTGGACTTCGTCAGCTAGTCTATAGCAAGCAGGTTCTCAAAATCGTTGTCACAGTCAAAAAAGTGAACGATCAACCTGTTCTGACGTCATATCTTGCATATTTCCCGCCAATCGCCTTCAACTTAACTAAAACTCCAAACAGTGGTTTTCCTGTTAAAGATATTACTGAAAAAATCCCTTATCCTTACGGAAAGACTCCACCTAAGTTCAGCAAGATTCTGCCTTTGATAAGTGATGTTGACAAGGGGGATAAATTTGGAATTGGCATCGCTTACGCAAAGAATAGCAGCATCGGAGCTTATTATTACAGAAATGACTCCAAAGGATCATGGGAGCTTATTAATCTGAAAAATGTTCTGACAAATGGAAAGCTCGTAAACAACAGCGATGTGCTTTTACTGAAACCAACGGCCGAGTAAGTATGGATTGATATTCTTAATCATTACACTTCAAAATACGCAGATATAGCATTAGAGAGGTTTAGATACGCGTTTACGGCGAACGCCAAGCGTCAAAACTGATCACGTGATCACTGTTTTTCTGTATTAACGACCCTTTTTTTCGAGATTGTGTATAAAATAGATCAGTTTTTCGTACATAAGCACATCACTATTCCTTTAGAAGCGTATTTACGTGTTGTTTGAAATTTTGAGACAAAGCATAAAAACAACTTGACGTTTGGCGTTTGCAGTAAACACGAATCTAAAACTCTATATTGAGAAGTTTCAACACGATATCATTGTTTTCATTTGTAATTCCCTGAAATCTCTTTTAATCTTTTTCCCATTCTTTTTAAAAGACTAAAATTTGAAATGCACGATCCTACAAACCTTTGGACCAACCTCGAGGCGAGAAAGCAAGCCAATCTTCTACTTGTTGCATGGGATCAGAGCGATCAACTATCCAATGGAATCCATCAATTCCATTTCCCAGTAAACAAAAACTCGTCAATAAGCTCGAAGTTCGCTTCGGCCTTCACAGCTCGATTGGGATGCGACGGAAAACCTGGCTCAAGGGGCAAATTCGATGCATGTGGACTATGTGGAGGGGATGGTGTTTGGTGCAGAGGATGTGATGGGGTTCCACATTCAGGAGCTGTTATTGGTAGGATCACCATCTTTACTTCCTTGCCACTAATCTTGGCTTTTGTGCCCATCCTTCAGTGACCTCAGCTACGGTCTTCACCATATTCCTTGCTCCATCTTTCCCTTTCTCTCGATTTTTACCCAGACCGAAAGGCCTTTACCCACTCTTTTAAAATCATTGACAATGTTCAGCTCCATTATTTCGTCATACAAATCCCGACATTTCTGTATCTTCTTAGATCATTGCGGAAACTGCACCGGTGGAAATACCAAAAAAGATTTCAACTTCAGGAAAGACTGCGGCGGCGGGTGTGGGACTTCATTTAACGACTCTTGCGGTACTTGCCAGAAATATGGAGAAGTAACTGATTTTAGGGATTGTGCAGGTGTTTGCTTTGGAAAGGCCTTCAAAAATAAGTAAGTGAATACAACAAATTTTTGTCAGAAAAGTATTTGACAAACAACTGCACACAAAAAGTATGAATCCTTGGTGGGCAAAACACCGTCAACAGCATTGATAAATGGCCCAGTGTTAAAGTGTTTGTTCATCCAATAATGCTTGATGACATTATATTCAGAAATTCCCGATTGCATGATAATGTAAATTATTACGTTCAACCCAACAGGTGCGGCAATTGTGTGGGTGGAAATACAACCAAACCTAAGAACTATGGAGAGGATCTGTGTGGGGTTTGTGGTGGTAAAAATGACACTTGTCTGGATTGCGCGAGTGTACCAGCGGGTACAAAAGAAAAAGACATATGTGGAAAATGTCTCGAACCAACGGACAAAGCGTTTAATGCTCAATGCGTCAAGCTTGGAACCATGAACATTGTCAGTGGGAAAAAGGCTGGAGGAGACAAGGTTACTGTTGTTGGAGCTGGTTTGAAACAGAGAGGCTACTCGACTGCAAAATGCGAATTTTATAATTCCACCAAGTCGTAAGTTGAAAAATAAGGTTTTAATTATGTTTTAATTATAATGGTTTCTTGCCTCTTTTGCAATTTTACGGTCCGTTTTTTTATGAAAATATATACCTAGAAATCGGTCTTGTGGTACTGTAATTCATTTAAGATATGACAGCTGAGTGTAAGTTGTAAGAAACTGGAAGTACATGGGGTTCTCATAAAAACAATCTCTCATGGACAGAGAATATTTTTATTCATGCGTATCTTTTTATTCATGTACAGTTTTAGTGTACCGGATGCTGCCCTTAATGGAAACAAGTTCACCATCACCACCCCAGCTGCACCAACTGCAGGCTTGTATTCTTTACGTTGTTCGTTCGACTCCGACTCAAAAAAAGAAAGCTCGCTCACCAATTTCACGTTCTTCGACAAATCGTCTATAACAATAACATCAGCCTCTCCTAAAGAGATCGAAGCCAAAACCACAGCTGTTAATGTTACCATCACTGGAACGGGTTTTGTGGACACTGGGTTTATCAAATGTATAACCAGCAAAAAACAAAGTTTCCCGGCCACTTTTGTCAGCTCTACGAGTGTTATATGCCATGTACCTATGCAAAAGAAGTCGGCTGCTCTGAAGATTGCCCCACAGTTTGGTTTATTGGATAAAACTATTCCTGCAGACGCGGCCAATTTCACTGTGTATGTAACAGCCCCCTTTCCACAGTCTGCACGTTTCACCGATAATCTGCAAGCCCTTGTCTTAGAAATGAACAAAGCAACGCAATATAAGGGTTCGTCTTGCAACGGTCTCTTTGACGCTGACTCTATAAAGAAGTTTGGTACAAGAGCAAAATGTAAGTTCAGGACACCCATGAAACTTTTCGTCTTACTACTTGGAAGTCCAACGGTAGAACCAAACGACATTGTGCAATTCCAAAAAGATGCCGTAACAACAAAATTCGAGGAAGTTACAAAGAAGGGATCTGGAGTACTCAATATCACCATACAAAAACCAACCAAAGTCGTTGTTCCAAAATCAAGTTTGTCAGGTCCAGCGAAAGTTGGTAAGAGATCACATATTATATTTCATCTTTGTTCTCTAATAAGAGACATATAGGGTCTCGACGGTAAGATTAACGCGCTGACGCACTGGTTTTGATATAGGTGAATGCAGTCCTGTAAAGCTTTCAGCTGCAAGGTCATCAGGAGGTGGAGGCCGTCGTTTAACCTTCATATGGACTGTTGGGTGGGCAAGCGATGTAAACGTTGGGTCACTCACCTCGGCTCAGACAAATGATCTTAAAGCAATACAGAGTATTTTGTCTGGCTTAAAGTCGTTCTCTCCTAGGGTTGAAATTACAAAAAACAATCTTAAATTGAACCTGAAATACGAGTTTCGAGTTTCTGTTAAGAATTTCTTGAATGAAGAGAGCTCAAACGCGACTTTAATTGTCACTCGAGAAAACAAGCAGCTACCTGTAGTCGATGCTGGACCTGCAGTACGCAAGATCAAAGCATCAAGGCCATTCACTATTCAAGGTAAGAGCACCTTGTGTCTCTTTGATTTTGAGCTTTAATTATCCATATTTATCTTTTTACGAAACGTCATCATCATCATCATGATCTTTGCTGATATTGCTGTTGCTTTTTTCATGTAAAGTCGAGAATGTCTCACTGAAAGAATATTATTTACACAGCAAAACCAATCCTCTCTCCGTGTCTCGATCCCAACGCTGTGGCCGCAACGGTTCTAATCAGTTGGGAGATTGGCACTGTTGGTATTAATCTTCCTATAACTGACCAACCCAGATTAACAATAAAACCAGGAGTTCTTCAAGGAGGAAAGGTATGAACATAACACTCTTATATTTTGAAATTAAATGAAATGACAAATTAGCTCTTTACAAACTCCCCTAAGGGACGCTAAACAATACGTGTTTTTTGGTACTAGAAATTAACCCTTGTTCTGAACTACCATGAACTGAAAGGGTGTATACAGCAAAACATTTTAGAAACCTGTAACCTATTATGCAGTCGAGTTTGAACAATAGTATTTGCCGTATTTCATGTAGAGTAGAATTTTGTGTTTAAATGAGACTGAATTAAAATGTATTTTTTWAAAAATTGTTAAGCTTTATCGACCAATTATTTCGTAAGAATTAGTCAGTTTTATTGTTGTATCAATCTATCATTTTCATTACCATCCTATTAACTACTCAGAAATACACCTTGACGGTCACCGCAACAATGGCGTCCGATCAAAATCTCGCGAGTACAAAGGAAATCGTTCTGGACGTTGAAAGTACCCCGTTGGAGGCAAGGATCGTAGGAGGCTCGTACCAGGTGGTCGGATCTTCTTCGACCCTCAAACTTGATGCCAGTTCCTCTGTAGATCCTGATAGCTCATCTGATTCTTTCTGGTACAAGTGGGAGTGTACTAAAGGAGGCAAGCCGTGTTTCGTGCCTGACCCGCAAAATGCGGGCAGAAAGAAGCGACTTGTACTGGATACAAAAGTTGTCGTTACCCTTGATGTGGCCGCTAATTTAGAGTCTAACACCGAGTAAGCCTATTAATGAATATATTGTTATTTTGATATCTTTCTGCAAAACTGAAAACGTAAAATTATGGTTATTTTATAACCGATACATTGGTAATGTTAAGAACTTTTTTTCAGATATGTGTTCAAAATGACTTTTAACAAAGGTAAAAGAAAGGCAAGCACCCAAAAGACCATCAAGGTTCTTCCAGGAAGTCCACCTGAAGCGGAAATCAGACCTCAGAAGAAATTTAAAGAGAATCCCTCAGCTGTCACTATCATAAAAGGAAAAGCAGCAAGTACCTTGCCAACAACAAATGTCACATGGGAGTGCGTGCAGGAAGATGGCTACGCATTTATTGATCTTGAAGCCGCAGGCGTTGTCTTGACGAAAACTAAACTTTCCTTCTTTAAAGCGGCTGGAAAGAAGAAGGCAACCGAAAATTTCGCCCTCGTAATAGCCGCTAACCAGCTTTCGGATGGAGTCAAATACAAGATAAGACTTACTGTTGCTCACGCTGACTCTACTGCAGTATCTGAGACAGTCATCACTACAAATGCAGTCCCAAGTGTAGGTAAGTATTACACATGGCGTTGTCAATAAAATGAGCTGGTGATTATGGAATACATACTCCACAAAAATGATTATGTAAAACCATAGGGGAAAGTACTAAAGGRTACAACGTCTAAGCAATGACCACGTTCACGAAAATTAGCTCAAAATATAGGCGAAATTAATATTAAAAGGATACAAAGTCTTAGAAGTTGGTGCGTGCCCTGTGCGTCCACAAGCTGAATCTTTCACTATTTCCCTCTTGCATTACGTCAGCCCAAACATTCTGCTTCTAACTTGAATCATGCTATTATAAGGGTACATAATGATAATTATGTGTACAATAGCGATGATGATTCTCATGATGATAACATATCAATGACGGATGTTTTTATCCTTATCTCTTTTAGGCGTCCTTAAGTCGGATATCCAAAATGGCACTGCTATGGACACAGTTTTCTCTATTTCTGCTCCAGAAGGCTGGGCAGACGATCCAGACGATTACCCCTTACAGTATCAATTTGGATATATTAAAAATGGAAAATCTTTTACTATTGGACTGTTTGGAGAGAGTGATGTTGTGGAGTCCAAGCTACCACCAGGTACATTACAATAATGTAGTTACTATAGAGACGAGTAATTGAGAGTTGTGCCGCAAAGTCTTAGAATTACTTTCACGAAAAGGTCAGTGCTTTAGATCTACGTATAACATGGTGTATGTCTTTTTTTTCAGGTGATCCTAACAAAAACAATTCTCTTACACTATTTGTGTACTGTAAAGATGCTTTGGGTGCAATATCTTCAACTGAGACCACAATTATGGTCATGCCAAAAGTCTTTGATGCTGCTGCCTTGAGTAGTGCCCAGGACGACATCGTGAAATCCTTTCAAAGCTCGGATTGGGGCACAGCCATGGGTATTTAATTATTTCCTTTTGTTTGTACTTATTATTTAACATACATTATCAAAGTGAACTCTAGTAACGATTGATTCATTGGTAATGTTTTGATAGGTAACATGGGAGCTCTTCTTGAAAGTCTTCCTAAAGGCGGCGGCGATGCAAAGGTGACAAGCTTGAAAGAAGTATTCGCAGACAACGTAAGTCTATCATATCATGAATCGATGATCAGTTTCATTTTCATCAACATCGCGAGAAATTATACCATCATGAATTAACCACAAACGTTATCAGGATGACATCAATTGTAGTTCCCATTGTTATCATTCCATCATTGATCATCATCATCATCATCATCATCAACATCATCATCATCATCATCATCATCATCATCATCATCATCATCATCATCATCAACATCATCATCATCATCATCATCATCATCATCTATGAAGGCATGACCATCATGCAGTGCTTCATATTCTTTGAACTGTCGACCATCGCGATCATCCATTAATTTACTATATCCTTTCAGACGTTGAATATCATTCAAACAAGCGATGTCACAGACGACCCAGATGCTAAGGCTTCCATGTACGGTTCGATGTCATCTATAACTGAGGGTGGCACAGCGATGAGCGACGAAGCCAAAAACAAAGTCAAGAACACAATTGTTGGCATTGAGACTGGATCCTCTTCTAAGAAAAGAAGGAGACGAGCAGTGTCAAGTCCATCTGTTTCTGCCATCACTGTTGATCAGGTCAGCTTCAGTTTTAACAAATTAAACCATCAGAGAATAGAAGATGTTTATACGTTTTAATCGTTGATCGTCAGCATAGTTCAAAGTAACTCTTTTTTCTATATTATTCAACCGTCACCTATATTTGGCAATCGCCAACATTAAGGCCTAGAAATGTTGGTTATATTTGCATGAATTCACTGGGCTTGGTTAAACAAGACAGGAAATCCAAAGGGATCGAACGTGAATTACAACTACATATAAAATGAAACATAATTATTAATAATTATTATGAACTCAATATAATCTAAATTGAGATTTTTTTCACAGGCCGAAACAACTTTGTCAATTTTAAGCGGACTTATTGATGCAGCTGCATATGACTCGAACACTATGGGACTCAAGACAGACTTCCTCCCCGTTGTGGATTCAACTGGCCAGAAAGTCTGCGCTGGACTAGCTGTCGGCATGGCAGCAGCCATTGTCAAGGACAAACTTGTAGTTCTTAGAAGTGAGAAGAACGCTTTCACTAATGTCGATACAACATTCACAGACATAGCTTGCAATGATTGCCCAAGCAGTCTTGCAAAAAGTGCAAAGGTTAAACTCGGCGACACGCTAAAGGCATCATATGCTTCATGGGACTGTAAGGGAGATGCTAATGATCTTTGTTCTGGTGCTTGTTTGATAACATCACAGCAGATCTACGATCTCCTCAGCAAAAGTGCCTCTCCTAACACCACATTGACAAGTGTTGTCGATATGAAGTTGTACAATCCAGAAACCTACGCGGCCATCTCTGTTGCTACGCTGGCAAAACCTGTAACCTATCACTTGCCGGTTTTGAATGTGACCACTAACAATGAGACGTACTTTGAGGTGAGTTGAGTGACCTTTTTTTGATTATTAACGTGTCCAATTCTTTTTTTCTTTCTTTCTTTTTGTAACTTTAACATATGCATTTTTTTGGCTTTCTTTCTAAAAAGCGAAGTGACCTTTCTTTTAAGTTCTTAGAGTCTAATGCGAATGTAATCCGAATGCTAAATTCTTGTTGGCGCATTCCACGGCAAAATTCTATATACTTAACGTAACCTTGACACGGTGTGTCTCACAACGTGGTTTTTGGTATAATAGTCAACATTGTTGTTATCATCATCCTTTTTACTATCATAGCTATTATATTCGATTGCAACCTTGTTACATTCATAATCACATACAAGCATATCATTTCATTGTCATAACCTAACATATACATTATCTTAAATTTCTAGTGTAAACGATGGACGGGCAGTGCATGGGCCACGACAGGATGCGAAACCAATCAGAACTTCATCCTTGATGCCGACAACAAAACCCAGTATGTAGAATGCACTTGTACTCAACTAGGCTATACCGCAGCCTTTAAAGCCACTCGACCACCTCCAACTACAGAACCACCACCAACAACCTTGGCACCGACACCGACACCCGCGAAAACAGAAGCGCCAACAACAGCACCCGTCCAAGTACGAACAGTGCGATTTGCTCTCAAGGCCGACTACGATACACTCCTCAGCACACCTGCCAAGAAAGAACAGTTTAAGAAAGATGTGACAAAGTCTTTAGCTGGAGCGCTGGGAGTCAACGAGACCCGTATAGTCAACATGACGTTTACCAAAGGCAGTATTATTGTCCAATTTGCTCTTCTCCCAAGCGTCTCGGATGACGACGCAAGCTTAGGGAAAACTTTGACAAAGTTAGAGACGGCTGTAAAGAACAACAACTTCACTGTTACGTTATCCGATGGCACTAAGCTCAATGCTGATCCTAACTCTTTTAAGACATGGAGTGGAACTACTGAACCAACCGTGGAGAGCACTGTTGTTGCAGCGACTTCGGCGTCAGGGCTCAGTGAAACAGAGGTTATCATTATAGCCTGTGTATGCGGCGGATTGGCACTGATTATACTTGTGGTGATAGTCGTGGTTTGTTACAAGAAGAAGACATCCTCAAGCGGCAAAATTTCGCCTCTGAACTCAGAAGCACAATTAAGAGGCGATGTAGAAATGGAGGATCGAAACAAACGTAAGTAAAATTTTGTTCCACTCTGATAGCATGCAGATGAATATTGTGTATTTCAAACTGTTGATTATTAATTAAATCCTTTTTTGTTTTCATAACTTACAGTCGATGGTAATTACAACGCAGCTGTAGAAACATAACGTACTAACAGAAAATACAAAAGACTCCAGCAACAAGCCCCCTCCCCTCTCCCCCTGGAAACCATTAATACACACTGTTGATCAGTATATAAACTTGAACCGCCACTTGGTCAGCGGATCAATCACTAAACCAAGATGGCTGCCTTCTTTGTACAGTTTTAAAACTTATCGAAAAATCTAAACTGAATTGTGTAGATATAAAATTTAGTTTTCAATCCGTTAGGATGTATTTTTTGTAATGGTGTAATTTTCAGCATTGAAGTCGTAAATTAAGGTATGTAATGGAATCCAGCGTAGAAGGACCTCATGTAGGAAAATCCATTTAAAGAAATGCTTTGCTGGGTCGAGGCACAGTGAATTCTCTGCATTCTACGGACGCATCTCTCAATATGAATGACCCCCTATAAAATGGACACCCCTATAACACGGTTACTTGTTTCCAATGGTGATCGTAATATGGAGGTTTCACTGTACCTTGGTTAGCAATCAAGACTAATGTCCACACCAGTAAAAATCAGTACTTAAAATGTTTTATTTATTCATTCATTTATTTATTCATCTATCAATGTGGTAATTTATCAATGCACTCAAGATTGCAGCCGGATAAGGCTGGTTCCTTTGTCTGAAGGTTTTTGTTTGTAGTGTGGATTATAAAATAATAAAGCGTGTTGATTTGCTAAAAGAATGACTATTGATCTGAAGAGCACCCTTTAAAGGCCCAATGTGCACCATTATGCTTTGCGGGCCGCGAGGGCCTCGAGGCGGCCATTTTCAGTTTACCGAAAGTCTATACTGAACTGTACTGTGCGTTTCGAATCCGTCCATACCTTGACCACCTCACTTTTCTAAGCACTTCTAATATTAGAGTTTTCAACCATCGGACATTCCTTTTATGGTGATATTTGGACACTAGAAGGCGTTTTCTATATAAAATCTTAATAATGACAGAGGCGTTCAAAGCATAATGGTGCAAACTGGGCCTTTAACAGTTTGTCCAAAACGTCTCGGCATAATTCTCCTCGTTAAGGGGATCGTCTATATACTAGGGTATCTATTCTGTAATTGCCCATACTTTCTTAAGTGTGATTAGTTTATCCTTAGCTAGCAGAGACTAACACGTAGTTTTTATTTTACATAGCTTTCGGACGGAAATTGTCATTATTATTATAAAAAATTGTGAAGCCTCAGAGACCTAGGAGGAGCCGACGGGATCTGTTGTTCTAAATAACTGTTCTTGTTTGATTTTTTTCCTGGGAAAAGGATTTTGAGCTACATTGTTGACAATCTCACAATCAAATGTGGCGCCCTTACTTCTTTAAAATAATTTTGTTCGTGACAAACGTTTTTAAAAGTCTTAGAGACCTGCAGATACCTTGTTTTGATGACTGGTAGATTGTTTAAGAGTATCTAGTGAGATAATTAGTGCTTGAGAGTAGTATCTAGTTTATTTAGTGTTCGAAAGTGATTTGGAAGCACGGCGCAATCAACGACAAACGTAAATGCATTCACTGCTCATCGTTTATCCTTTCGTTACGTAGTTTTTTCTTCGACAACGTTTGAACAGAATACTTGTCAAGTTTTCACGAAACTGCCTGCTTAACAATGTATAAATGATAGGATTGTAGATAACGGATGATTTGGCCAAAAGGTCTGGGATCTCAGCTTCTCCAGGCTTCAAGACATGGCGGTGGCTAAACATGGCCGCCAAACTAATCACGCAGTACGGAGACCAACTTACGACAAACGCAACAATAGACGCAACGATCACGCGCGTAACGCGTATCTGTGACTGACGACGCTTATCCTGTGAGAAGTTGTTATTTGAGATTTCTCTCGAAAAAAATCTGGAATTCAAAGAAAAAACTGTTTTATTGCGTGGTGATTATGGCATTGGTTGTAATTGCAATCATAGTTAATAGAAGGGGCTAGTTGGTTGTAATTGCAATCATGGTTAATAGAAGGGGCTAGTTGGTTGTAATTGCAATTATGGTTAATAAAGGGGACTATGTTGCAATAGAGACATCATCATCGAAAGGTGTGATAATGATGGTGATCATTGTTTGACAGACATTTTCAAGCGCGGTTTTCAAATGTGATTAAATGCGCTGAAGTTACAATTTTTTTTGATCAAGATGTTTTGATTTTGTCTCTTGCATTTCTTGGTAGAAATATTTCAAAAATACGTGTCCCAAARTGCAATAACAAAGTTGAGTTGAGTGTGTTAAACAGACAAGACAAAGGTAAACGAGGCGTGCACGATAAAGGATTATTCGGTAAGTATATTAAGCAGGACCGTGATATTTTTGTATTTTTGTGGATGATTTCATATATTTTTGGGTCAAGAATTTCAGTTCCTGATCCCAATTTTGCTTCAAATTTGATCCCGGATTCTCCAAAAATTGTGCGTGACTCAATAAATGATTTTATCGCTGATCTGTGATCATCCATCATACCATGTCACTACCCTGTATTAGAGAAGTCTTATAGGGTTTATGTAAGCCACGGGTTTTTTCCCCTCACTTTTACCTGTATATTTTGATGTAGCTGATGCATATGACGACTAATGGAAGAARGAATCCCAATATAACTAGCAAAATATTGTATATTAACGTCCTCTGATCATTTGACCTCCAATCAGGACAGCAACTTATACCAGAAGACCCTGGAATAAACCTATTCCAACCAAACAAAGGCGGGGTCATGACCAGGATTCCATACAACCAGGGGCAGGTTAGCAGGGCAACTTTATACTTTAATGGTATGTTGTCCAGGACAAATAATGACGTCATGTTATACCACATCACAACGCTGATCTCTGTAAGCATTACAATGGACGCTATGCCAACAGACCCATTAACAAATCCATACCATGTACACGCTACGGTGCCCTCAAGGAGTCTTTCTCTRGTYAGGTTCACATTGATAGCAACAGGATACCCAAACACAGTGATGAAAAGGTTTGCAATAGCTAAGTTGATGAAAAAAGGTGTGATCACTTTACAGCGATTTTGTTTCAGCAGAAAAACAATGATGGTTAGTACATTCCCGATGAATCCAATCCCCAGGATTATAAACATGATAGGGCGATACAAATGATAATCCTCGTCCGTCCAGAAATCCTTTCTTGAACCATTGAAAGCCAAAGTTTTGTTCATTTTTTGTGAGCAATTGTTCTTGAAACTAAAGTATAGTCAAGTGATTAGAATGTCACCTATAGATCCTAGACATCTTTAATACGAAATGAGACACCAAATACACTCGATCTAAGAGAGCCACTTGAGAAATATATCAGATTGTTTCGRGTACTAGCCTGCTTCTTGAGTAAACTGCTCTAAAATGATCTTCTAGCTCACTATTTTTTGGACTGGATTCCTTTTGTGACCTGCCGCCACCATTGGCTTAAGTTTCTTAAATKATCTATAAATTGGAGAAAATAAAAATAAAACATTAGATAATTTAGTATGATTAATTCATCCGGTTCATAATTAATTCATCCGGTTGGTTTTAGAGTACAAACATTAAATGCGTGCAACACTTTCCACTATTTACTTTACTATTTACTCTCGGAATATCGTTCAGCGATACTATCAATAAATCCCCAAAAAGCTTGAATTATAATTTTTCACGCTCAGTTTTTACACAATTTTTATAGAATATATATGGTGAAATTTCATAAGGAGGCTATTCGCTTCTTTATTTAAGAAAATTCAAAATGTCGGAAAATTATTGGGGGGGCTGTAGCCGCCCATCCCCCCCCTGCTCCGCGGTCCATGTTAAACAATAGTAAACAATAGAATTAGCATAATTTAGCAGTATTTAGTGGTATTTATGTTGCACAGTTTTAGTRATTGTACTCTACATTCACGGGAGCTGAAATATTTTTACCCCCACTGAACCCAGTAACTTTGATCAAATTCTTCCTGATCGAACTTTGGATCTTAGTGCCTCAAGACCTAAAATCAAATGCTGTGAAAACATGGAATGGTGAGAGCAAACAGAGTCGTTTTTGCCTGGTTTTCAAAAGCGAAGTAATACGAAACGGAGACCAATCAAAAAAAAGAACAGCGAAAAATGAGTCTTGGAGAAAGTAGAAAAATGAATGAAAACCCTCCCCAGTTGGTTCTGCGTTTTTCTTCTCTATTGTACCTCTGTAGGCTTTGAAAACCATCACTGCGTGCACGGAGCTTCAAWGTCATTACTTTTTTACAGGCGTTTTTGGACTTTTTGTTTCACCGACGACCCGCAACCTACATCAAAGCGACGTCTACGTTTGTACGAGCATTTGGAAGTTGGATACGATGCGCCGCTTTAGCTCGTGCAAGAATGTGATTATTCCGGATTTTTACTCAGTGGTACACATCCTTGGTGCATTCCATCGATCGCAGGATGTCGGCTTGTTATGTAATAGAAAGATCAACGTATGGAAAACGTATACGTAGTAAAGATGCGTTTCTGAAGCTACACTAATTTTTACGTTTTGACATTARAATATTTAGGTGTGTAGCTCACGAAGTCTGTGACCACGTAGCAAAATAAAAAAACGTATAAAATGTCTKGTAAAGAATAACATCGGTCATTTCCTACTTCTTCTTGTGATTGCAATGAATTCTTTTACCATTATTGCAGTTATAGCTCGCGTTGTTGTGGATGGCACTAAGTGTTAAGATGTACTGTTAGTATGGTAAGTTAGATTTAATATTTACCAACGTAGCGAAGCCATCATATTCCTACTGCGACATAAACCCTGCAAACAGCTTCAAATGATACGTTCCTCAATTCAGTGGTCTATTACCAGACTATCAAGTTACTCTAGTGCATTGGCATCCAAATAACAAGAGGAGAAAGAATGGAGCGTTCGATGATCACTTTGATACTGAAAAAGGGTTTATCATCTATTCCGCRKGTAATCCTACTGGATAAKCGATAATTGTCTACTTTATCTGTACCGATTACATCTGGCTTCGATCGATGGTAACGAATCGTCCTAATAGCTTTGCCAAACCCCTTGGAATCCAAAGTTGATAAGTCTGCCAAACACCTCTGGTATATCAACGGTTACTTCAATTAATTAACTAAAAAGCAARCGTTTTCAGGTTCTTCGAGTCCAGATTAGAAAAGTAAAGAAAACTAAAAAACCTTTCGTCAAAGAGCAGAAACATCTTCTTGCCACTTGTCAAATTTCAGAAATTCCAAATCTTTTTTTTTAGGCGGATGCGTTTGACACAGATGATAGATCTCAGTGTGCTGCTCATTTATAAACAGCAGTTTTTATGATCAAAGTTCGGGTTTCAGTCTGGGGGTATTGAAAATTAGAGCAACCTTTGTTGTGGTCTATTGTTTCCTGTGATGTTCAAACAGACGAACTTAATGTAATGCATTTTTTAAAGGAATTTCATTGTAGACCAATTATAGTGCAATTTAATAATTATAAGACAATTTCTTCCTGACCGAACTTTCGAAGTCTTCAGTGTCTTTTAGATTAACTCAGTTTTACATGCGCTTTTTCTAAACCTAGATGACACGAATTGCTAAACAACTTCAGCTTCTTAATAACTCTTCAAGCTTGATTGACAGTGGTAACAATAAAAAAGTGTTGATGRCATTCAACTTCTAAAATTAGTATGGAAAGTGCATGTTAAAAAGCCACAACAATGTCATCTCTGTGAGGCCTCTCGGGATAGTAATAAAAAGATATGAAAAGGATCCTTTTGTCTTTCAATTTGATTTGCCTGACTCCGCAAAGCTAGTTTACGTAATTAGCGTTATATTGGCGATATCTAAAGCAAAAGAAAATAGATGCGGGAAACCRCTAGAAACCTAGTTAGCTGAAAATAAAATCATTAATTCAAGATAAATAGAATAATTGATTGTTTTGTTTAATCCCGTGCTCAAGATGCGACAATTTTATGCGCAATTTTATGCGCATGCTTAAACCTACCGACGCGCTGAGAACCCGGGCTGAGAATTGCAGGCTCAATAACAAGAGTAAAGCATCCGGTCTGACGTTCACGAAAAAACTGCATGAAAATGAATGCTAGTGGTTTCTGTATACGAGGAACGWAAGGTACTGATGCTATAACTGAAATGCTATTGTTAACTACAAATGGAAAAGAGAGGACTTTGAAAAGGTTGGTAGTATTATAAATGAAATGTTAGTCCTACATCAATATTGCCCCGAGGTCACGGAGGATAAAAGAATGAAATGGCAATAACCTGAACAAAAGGGAAAATACGGAGAAGGGAAAAAAGGRTAGACATTCAACGTTTGTWGTAGACCTGTAAACCAATTWCTCGTGTGGGCTTCCTGTGCTTCTCGTGKGAGAAGCCCTGGGGCCGGTTGTACGAATTGTGGATAAAGTTACCTACTCATTAGATTTTGTATGGATCACTTTTATCCTATAAATATAAGGATTTACCCATTTTACCCTTTGTACAACCGCTCCCCCCCCCCCAGCACTTCCCTTTTATGGTTAACACTCCACAGGAAGCCCAAAATTAAATCTTTGATCTTATGGGTTGTTTTATTTTTTGTTTGTTTGTTTGTTTGTGTGTAACCTTATTGGTGTGGACAAGCGATACTTTCCAGGAAAAGAGCTGGTAGCAGTCGAGTAGCTATTWCGTTAGACTGGTAATTGTTCGGTTGGCACGTTCGGTAGAGAGCACTGAGTGATAAAGTATTTTGAGTGGTTTTAGTGTCAGATAGTACATGATTCGTGTTGTGTAAATAGGTTTGGTAAGGAAGTTCTTAGATAGCCTCCTTCTCAGGCAACTCTACTCTACTCTACTCTACTCTACTCTACTCTACTCTACTCTACTCTACTCTACTCTCTTCCTGTGCTAAGGCAAAAGAAAAAGCTGCCGGAGGGGGAGGAGGAGGGGGTTATTCGTTGTTCCTAATCTCTTGACACCAGTTCTTCTCGGTCAAGATTATGTACACAGGAAGACCAAGAAGAGAAGAGAGTCCGTGATGTTGGAGTAACCTGAATCAGTGATACTCAGGTTAATGTTGGAGTGCCTGCGAAGTAGCTACACCTACTGAGTAGATAGGTATGGWTGATAGGTGTTGTATTAAGGTATTGATAGAGTGATTGGTATCGTTGATAAGTAGATAGGCGAGTAGGTAATTAGGTTGGTTGATATGTAGGTAGGTGGTTAGAGGATAGATTGGTAATTGATATTTGCTGATGGGTGATTAGATAGTCAGTAGATGTAACTGTGCGGTTCGGTAGGTAGGTGTTATAGTTAATTACGTGGGTACGTGGTGTGGTAGGTGGATGATTGGTATAGATTATGATGGTGGGTTGGTAAATCGGTTGTTGGTAGTTCGGATGTATATGTGTATGTAGGTAGAACAAAGGTCAGTTTGTTAGTTTAATTTCTTAGTCTACACACTGGATACTCGCAAAATCCACGAAATGTATCAATACCTTAGTGGCATGTATTTTTTCTTCCGATCCCGAAAAATTTTGCAAAAATACTGATCCCTGCAAGATCCCACATTATCTTTCGATTTTGATCCCTTGATCTGAGATTTCGAGTGTTCGCGCGCATATTCACATTGGCAATGATTCCCATCCTAGTGACTGCAATCCGGATCCCTAAATCCTGGTCCTTAAAATCCCAAACTGATCCCTTGAGTATCCTTTTTACTCAATAGTCTGCCCAACAATGATCTCATCCACGTTTTTGTTTTCTTAGTATTTATAGTCATGGAGCTTAATAAACAGGAATACAAGACTAAACACAAGTTATATATCTTTGTTCAAGACAAGAGGAATGTGCATCAAGCGTACGATCATTTCCGTTCGAAGGCCATCAAGATAACATACGTCCGGTTCTTATCGCAAGGAGAATGWTGTATAACGTGCAACAAGACCTTATGGTTAACACTCCTGAAAAAACCCAGAAACGATGTTAATATCTTTATCGGAGGAAACTGAGAGCGAGAAGAGCCCAATCTCCAACACCGGAAACTACTACGATAATCACGGCCGAAAACGAGGCTTAAGTAGTTTATTTATGTCGTAGTCCCCATGTGGTGGCTGAGTTTTGTTCTACCTTCACAGCTGAATGACAAGTGAATTTGAAATGCCTCGATCGTTTTTGGTCAAGAGAAGGAAGAGCGAAACGGATATTTATATTCCTGGGGAAGATATAGGTAAGGGTTTTGCTGTGTCAAGATYTGAAGTACAAAGTACATGTATTCTAAGATGCGACTGTAGAAGTGTTGTTCTGTAATATGATTGCGATATAACAGAGTTTCTGGCTTTCGCAAGCCGGCCGCTGTGGGTATCTTCAGTTGGAATCTCCAACGTATCATTAATAACTAGTCTTTTGTGTTTAATGATTTTGAAAATTTCTCATTGGTACTTATGTTAATTCTATTTATTTGTGAACAACGAAATAATCAATCAGTGACAAWATGCTTCACAAAATATGAGAAGTTGTTTTTATTTTGGTTGAGTTTTAAAATTATCATGACTAGAACGATATGKTGTTGTTATTGRGGATTTCTTGTGGCTTGTTTGGTGGCTCGTATGTGTCTGAGTCGTAGGCTTCATATTCGTATGAGAAGCAAAGTTTATTATATACTACACCTGGGCTGTGTTAACAGATGTCCTCACCAGAACAGCATCCGGGCAACGTTGTGTTGTTGTTAGACTGCTGTGACATATAAAAACCTTCTAAAGAAAAATCATTTTTTGCCATCAAATGAAATCTGTAAAAACGAAAGATGACTTTGAACRTGTCATTTTTAATMAGAAGRAATTACCAGGAAATTTTTGAGAAAATCCCCACCAATTTTTCGCCATAAATTAAAACGGTTCTGTAAACACATTAAGTCAATGTTCACAGCTGTTCGACGAACAAATTATTTCGAAAAAAATCGAATCTTTTCGKTGTTGACGTTTTTCGAGCTTGTTATGAATCTACAGAAATATTGGTTCAATTTCGAACAAGAATTAAGAAACACAATCTAACAAGCGAACAAATGGGACTTGTGCAACGCCAGATGTTGAAACATTTGGCGCCAAGCGGCACTCTCAAAGAGCCGCTTTTGCATTTGTGATGAATCGTATTTCTGGGTTCTTTACAATCAGAACTTAGCGCAAAAGTCAGGATGTTGTTTATGAATTCAACAATTTGAAGTGAAAATCAAGTTCTTAGCGTTTGATTTTTTCTCTTTTTTCCAGTATTTGTGTTTGAACATTTTGAAGCAATTAGAAAAATATTTCATACTGAACCCATTTGTGAAGAGGACATGATCGAATTAGTACACCCTCTTAAATTAWCAAATGAAAAAATCCTTAATATTGTCATGTACCCGTAATGGTGTTGTAATGATTGCATTTTTTTTTTCCTTCTAATTTTGGATTAATCAAGGCGGTTTTAATTGCGCGAACAATTCAGAAAGAACAATTTGACTGTGATTATATTTCTCGATTCTTTCCTGGACGGCAGATCGCTTTTTCTCCCACTTCGAAAACGGGATAACATACGTGTTGGACAACTGAATTACCCGTGAAAGGACATGAACATTTATCTATAGCCATTTTTCACGGAATCGATTTTGCTAATTGTGAAGTGATGTCAACAAGAAGATAAAGCCAAAATTGGAACACACACGGTCATATTTCCTATTGTAGAGATTAAAAACAAGGCACATTGTCAAAAACGTATCAGATATTTCTAAAATTGATATTTGTACAAACCTGGTCAATTAGTCTGCTCATAAATACTGAACAGAACAAGGTAAAATCACCTTTACAACACCAGGACATTTGTGAAATTCATTGGTGGGCATCTGGGCACCCAGATGTTAAAGGAGGGCAAAAGATTGTCCTGTCTTAGCAAGATGACTTAACTCTTTGTTCGCCCCCTAGAGGCCCTATCTGCCCCATTGCCTAGCGATTCTTAACATAAAACTGATTCGAAAATCTCATGTTAATACTTTGTACACGATGGGATAATGTCACTATGTACAGAGCGGGAAAGTGGTTGTTGGTTTCTTTTCTCGAGGCGAAGCAGACATGAACTCTAGTAGCTCCCATTCAAAAGCCCACCTGGCATTTCCGGTCAGCCACTGATAATATATTTCTTTAACCTAAGACATGGTCATATTAGACGATTATATGACTGATGATAAACAACCTTTTCTTGCCGGCTTCGCATTGTACAAACACGAATTGTGGACGTTTTCCGACGGAATATTACACAGTTTGTTTTCGTAGTTCCAGATACTATCTTGCCATTGCTTTGTAAAATAATTGAAAACAATATTGTTATCATGAGGTCGTCGCTTTATTTCTTAGGGCTTCTTTCTTTCATTAATATACTGTTTCAAAATTAACAAATGTGTGATTTTATTCCATTAGGCTTTAGCAAAAACCTTTTCCAATAATGGATAGAATTTCGCTTACTTTTGCCTCGTCGGCTGTCCCCGCAAAGACTCATCGGTCATCGCTTGAAAAATTAATAAAAACGTTTTACTAAGTGATGAAAAATCACTAGTGATCACTTAGGAATCAGATAGCACAAGACTGATGTAATCATTTTGATAGGGTGTTTTTCCAAAGTCCAAACAATAGACTGAACAATTTCGACTGATAGTGATAACGCCATAAACGCTTTTTGTGCGCAAACATAACTTTTTGTTAAAAAAAATCTCAACCAAAAAAATAATATCTGCACTCTGTTTGCTCTGTGTCGGAAAACATGTCACTTTGTAGGGATTTTAATTGGCACAAAC